TTTTACGATAAAACATGTCCGCAAGTCTTTGACATTGTTACCAATACCATTGTCAATGCGCTGAAATCAGACCCTCGCATCGCTGCAAGCATCCTTCGTCTTCATTTCCACGACTGCTTTGTTAATGTAAGATACCATTAGATTCAATAAATTCATGTATATATTAAGTCTTTTGGTTTTTTGATAGTTTATCCTTAATAGTGAGAATGCTTTACGGATAGTATAAACGTAAAATAAGGATATGACATTTATAAACCTGAAAATGTGATAGACATTTCGGTTTCAACTCAAACTACAGATTTCTTTTGATAGTTTGGTTTTGAAATTTTGGCTTTCTTTTGGTTGTATTAAAGAATAGAAACAATAAAAATACAAAGTAAGAAGAGAAAGTTATATATACATATAAATTATTTTTGGAAGTTTGATTTTGTTTGTTTTGACTAGTTTTTGGTTCAATTTGGAGCGGCTATATTTACTATGAACCAACCACTTCTTTAGGAAATTGATGACTATTTTGCTTTCTTATCTCAAGTGTCAGATTTTGTCTTCAAAGTATAGTCAAAAATTAAAATTCTTTTCGATTATTAGATAATAATTAGTTAACTCATAATTTTTTCCTTGCAATATTCTTTTGGATTATTAGATGTCGTGGCTCATTAATGTCGTGGCGTAATAGTGGCGCACTAATGCTGTTTTCGAATTTCGGATTCACGTGAACAAGTTTAAGCTAGCTAGTGATTGTGTGATACTAGATTTACTATTTTTCTTGGGGTAAAAAGAGAAGAAACAAATGCAGTAGCCAGTAGTTGCGGGTAAAATATGTATGTGGAAGTATAGCTGGTTCATATATAAATTCAAAAATTAAATAAACTGTTTATACAGATGTTGTGATTTAACAATGTAACTAATATTTTGTTTGGAAAAAGGGATGTGATGCATCGATACTGTTAGACAACACAACATCGTTTAGGACGGAGAAAGACGCCTTTGGGAACGCTAATTCCGCTCGTGGTTTCGATGTGATCGACAAAATGAAGGCTGCCGTGGAGAAAGCATGTCCTAGAACCGTTTCGTGTGCTGATATGCTAGCCATCGCAGCTCAAGAATCTGTCGTTTTGGTATGCATCTTTTACTATACTATGAACTGGTTTCTAGAGTACCATTTTGTTAATTTATTGAGGATAAAATATTTAGACAACATATAATTGTTTACTTTAGGCAGGAGGTCCTTCATGGAGGGTTCCAAATGGAAGAAGAGACAGCTTAAAAGGGTTTATGGATCTTGCTAATAATAACCTTCCAGGTCCATCCTCTACCCTTAAAGTACTTAAGGATAAATTCAAAAATGTCGGACTCGACCGTCCTTCTGATCTCGTTGCTCTTTCCGGTATGTTATCTCATTTGAAACATTTTCACCTATAGTTGTAATCACTAATAACTCTACATGACTATTGGTTTTGTTTATTTATACTTTTGATATTTTTTCTTTCCTTAGGTGGTCACACCTTTGGCAAAAACCAATGTCAGTTCATAATAGATCGGCTTTACAACTTCGGTGATACCGGTTTACCCGACCCAACTCTTGATAAATCTTACCTCGCAACACTCAGAAAACAATGTCCGCGTAATGGAAACAAGAGTGTCTTGGTAGATTTTGATTTACGTACGCCAACAGTCTTTGACAACAAATACTATGTGAATCTCAAGGAGAACAAAGGACTTATCCAGACCGACCAAGAGTTATTCTCTAGCCCTGATGCTTCAGACACTATCCCTTTAGTCCGAGAATACGCTGATGGTCAAGGGAAATTTTTCGATGCGTTTGCGAAGGCAATGATAAGGATGAGTAGTCTTTCACCTTTAACAGGGAAACAAGGAGAAATAAGATTGAATTGTAGAGTGGCGAATTCGAAATCGAGAATCATGGATGTGGTAGAAGATGCTATTGAATTTGCTAGCTCAATGTGAGGAAATGTTTTTCTTTCATAATAAATAAATTATCAATGTTGTCAAGATGTTATCTTTTTTTTACTTGCTTCCTTGTTTCTTTTGCGTTACTTATCTAAAATCTATATATGTTGGTTCAACTTGGATCCATTTTTACATCTGGAAGAAATACTTATGGTCATACGTCGATAATATTGACGGTGGCCGAAAAGTTTGTGGATATGTCGGTTCACCTTCATGGGCTTACATGCTCTACCGTTAGTGATTGGGATTAGGTCTTTATTAGCTTGTTTTGGAAACTGTCCGACACAAATCTAGGTACATTCGTCGCGTGAAACCGACAAACGGACTATCAAACTGAGGTCGTGAACCAGTGTTTTGTCCACCATTGTCAGAAGCAATGGAGTGGCCTTCTCCCTTGACAAGTCGCTTACAACTTTGCCTAAAGAAATATTGTGTTCATATTTTCTTAGCTTAGCTTATTATTGGGACATCATTTTTTCAAATGAATTCATTTACAATTTACACGAGAAAATTACGACTCCAAATTTCGCAACACCAATGGGTTCATCAGAGATCTAGCGAGACCCGTTGCTGCAAAACAAAGAAGATAGATATATAAGACTTCTTTTGTTTAACCGTTTGGTTCTGTACCATACAGAATTTGTCAAGTCTGCATTTTTTACCTTATCTATTGGCATTTTTGTTCTCACCGAGTCAATCAGTGAAAAATCAATATCTGCCACGACAATGCCAGTCGAAACACGATCTGCAACAGCAACAAAATCAATAATTTCATTTTGATCAGGAAAGATTTTGTCTCGTAAATCTAGATGTAGAAGATGCTTTCGATCATTTCAGGATCCTCACCGGGTAACCTTCCGACCACAGTTCCCCACGGATCAATGATCAGTGTGTCACCATAACTTTCTCTTTTCTCATTATGCTTTCCAGCTTGAGCAGCAGCTATGACCTGACGATTAACCAAGCAACGGGAATTGAACAGAGACCATTAAAATCAAATACGATGAGAGGTTAGAAGTGTGCAAGCACATACATAACATTGCGTTTCAATTGCTCGGGCTCGAAGAAGAATCTCCCAGTGTGCCTCCCCAGTGACCTTGGTGAAAGCTGACGGTACCAGTAAAACCTGAAGAGATTTCAAGTTCACAGGACAACCATTACGACAGACAATTCATACTCAAGTCTATGTATTTTTTTCTGTAGGAACTTAGTTTTATCACAACATTGTTTCATTGTTTTTCCTCATAGTTTCGAAACGCATCTATTACAAGTCAAACCCAATTTTAGCTTTTGTGATTCTACCATTTCTTTCCTTGACTGAGTTTTTCCTAAACAATACCAATAAGATAAAGGAAAAAAAAAACAAACATAACACAGGTTCAGAATAATTGAATTATAATGGATTTTACCTGAGCTTTCTGTTCAAATCTCAGTTGCTGATATATCTTAGGAAACCTCAAATCGTAGCATACAGTAAGGCCTAAGCGCCCGATAGGGCTGTCTACGGAAACAATCTTTGTCCCTGAAAAAATACAGGATCGAAAGATTTATCTCAAAGACATGAAAATACATCAGTTTTATACTCTTATTAAGTATGAAGACAACAAAGGTTGCACAGAAAAGAATCTCTTAGAGATTATCAGCATAATGATGTGATGATAATACTTCCATGTGTATTAAACAATAAATTCGGATTTTGAGCTGTTATGAATCACTCCACAAACAACTGTTTTCTTACTTTCTTAATGCCACAAGCAATACGCATAACTGATGTTTTTGGAATGGACCTAAGATACTTTATATGTCGGATTGTTCAGACAGTCTATCAAGATTCGATTAGATAAGACCATTCTAATCAAGACGATTACAAGATATGGAGTTTACCTGGAACTGTAAAGCTGCTTTCCTTGTATGAGCTTCCACCAGGAACATCAACATCAAACCTTCAAAAAACAGAAGTTGTCACTTAGTGATTATAACCAAATACAAAATCTAATGAAAGTCAACATCTAAATGATAGATATGAACAAAAAGTTTTCCAAAATCCAAGGAGAGTCAAATAATTTACAAATGCATTTTCTGATAAGTGTCTCGGATCATTCCAGCATCATCGATCACAACATGTGTATTACACAAATGAGTATCATCAAATCTCTCTTGAAAGCCTCCAAGAGACAACCATATATTTGAATCCCTGCAAACACACAACATATTAGAAAGACCCTAAATAGGCTATAAGAAAACAACTCAATGTACCTAAGCAAAAATAACATCTTTTACCTGGCGAGAGAGCAATACCGTTGCATCACTGGCCCATCTAATGGTTCAGCAATTTTCACACTTTCGCCTTCTTTATCTCCCACAAAGGAGAAGTTCTCAGGGAAACAAATCAGCTTTGCCCCAGCCAATGCTGCTTCCTTTTGGACAGTTACACATACTCAAAGATTAAAAGGACTAAAAAAGTAGTAAATTTTCAGATAAAAATAGTGACTTTCAAACTTCATTTACTCCAGAAAGTACTAATCTTCTTTCTTTACTTAAAAAATCTTCATAAAATCTTTATAAACTAGTAATCTCAGAGATTAAAAAGACTAACAAAGTAGTAAAATTTCACATAAAAATCACTTCAGAAAGTAATATTCTCTTCTTTCTTTACTTCAAAGATATTCTTCATAAAGTTTTCAACTTTTGGATTTCTAGTACTTCAAAATCCAAAATTGAAACTTTCTGAAGAATTTTGAAGTAAAGATAGATCGAAACCTGATAAGTCAAATTACTAACATGGTCAATTGAATAACAAAGTCTTATACGATTTATAGAATTTCGAAATGAAATCTTGTGATTGGGAAGGATTAATTACTTGAACGAGACGAGAGCAAGTGGCGAAATTGGTCATGAGATCATTCACTGATGTCATTTGAGCAGCTGCGACACGAACTGTTTTGCTTAAAGTGGCCATGGTTAGAGGAATCTGAGTAGAGAGAGCGATTCTTGTGAAGAAAGAAGGTTTGGTGAAGTCGAGAGAAACAGAGTAAGCGTTCATCCGCACGCAGTGGCCGGTCTACTTGGGTTTAATCGTCCTCAACAAACCCAAGTAGACCGGCCACTGCGTGCGGATGAACGCTTACTCTGTTATTTAATTCCTAGATTTTAACCCGCGGTACATCGCGGGATGATTTAATTTTAAAGTTAGTATAAAAATATTTTGTAAATTGTATCTCCTTATAACATATTTATTTATATTATAGTTTACAATTGTTATTAAGTAACGGTATACCACGAGTCCACGAGATAATTATTAATAAACTGAAGATTTAACCTGTATTAAAGCGGTATATAAATATTGATTCAAATTCGTCCGCCATATAAATCATTTCCGAAATATAACCCGTTCCGTAATTTCTTAACCCGTCCTGTGATTTGTATTAAAAAAAAAAAGGATTAAATCCGTATTGAAGCGGCGGATTAATGATATTTTAATCTTTTTATTATTGTTGATTCAAAAACCCGTCCCGCCAAACCCATCCCGCCAAAAAACTCATTTATTTTATTAATGTTCTTATTTATGATATGATTCTGAATCATTGTCTATATATTTTAATCGATGTAGAACGTTGAACACACATTTTCGTCAATTGGATAATATATGTCCGTTTTTAAAATTTCGAATCACAGTATATGCAGAAAAAAAATTGATTTTTTTTTTTACTTTATGTATTATATGATGATTCAAAACAGTTAAAAACAAATCATACAAAGATGATAGGAGAATCATAATTATAAATCTTAATCAAATCTTCTAAAAATCTAAATTATTAAATATGGAATATCCGGTGTATGAGTTGGGTTAAATATAACCCGACCCAACAAATTTTTTGTGAAGGAATTTTTAAAATGGGTCGGGTATCCGATATACCCGAAAGCTTTTTTACCCACCCGTCACAAAAAGTGCTGCGATTATACTAGTATAGATTTACATTAAAAATATATAAATTATTGTTTCATTGCTTGTATAAAATTTTTGGAATATAGTAATTTATATTTTGTTTAAACTCTCAAGAGATTCGTTAATCATTATATAATAAGATGAAAATATATTATTGTATGTGTACATAATTTATAAAAGCATATTTTAATAATAAACAATGTAAATTACTTAGAAAAACGTACAATATATACAATGGTTTAAAAAGTTTATTGCGTAAGCGCTCAATTAAATTGCTGAATTAAATTGGTTTACCTATATAAATGCTCAAATAAAAAGCTGTTGACAAAAAGATATAAATGCTCACAATCAGTATTAATCAATCAAATCAACCAAATCGTTGAGTTTGATGTTTTTTTTTTTTTTTAATACTTCATCATATTTAATAAATGAAAAAGAAAGAAAAAAAATTGTTTCTTTATTAAAATTGTTAAATATGATTTAGTTAGTACCAATTTTTTTATTCACATCTCGTATGCTATTTTAGTTCTCATGTAATGTATATATATAAACAAGTTCAAATAGGAAGTGTCATCAATTTCCATTATAAATATGTCTTATTATAAAATTATAAAAAAATATTGAAAAATAAGTAAAGAATTTATTAACGCTTAGATTCCGCCTAAACTCCGATTAATTAACCAAACTCTTAGTTATTGCCTAACGATTTTATAAACATTGGTAAGTATTGATTTGTAAACTTTAGAAAATAAATATGTAAGAAAAAAGAAAAGAAAACTTACAAGTAGGCATGACCACGGTTACGGTTGATTAACCACCGGTTACAGCTATAAATTTTCTTAAAAAGTAACCTTAACCACTATATATATGATTAAAACGTACGGTTACGGTTAAATACGGTTACGGTTACAACGGTTATGGTTAAATACGGTTACAGTTATTTGATGATTACGATACGGTTAATATCGGAGGCGAATACGAGTTACCTGACTTTTTATACTACTTTGAATATGATGAAAACTATTTAGCTTTGATAGGAACGGAAACTATAGTATTGGTGTGATAGACCAAGGTGTATTCCCTGAAATCAGGTTAAGTTCTACTATATCTACCCTCAAAATCAAAACCAAGAACAAATGCGTGAAACTTGTTATCCACTGGTTCATCAAGATCAAGCATGGGTTCCCTTTAGTCCACTTTTTGGTTACAACCGAACAACTAAACTCTATGTTGGTTGGTAATAACACTTTAGGTTTGATGTTGTTGGAAAAACGAGAGGAATGGATGTATGCATCAGCACAACGGCCAAAAGCGATCAAGAAGGACATAAACTATTGGCTCTAATGGGAATGCCTATCAGGGAAGGAGGTGGTGGCAACACAGGCGCGATAGTGCGGATGAAGAAACTAAACTCTCATCATTTTGATGCTAAAGCAAAAGGAAAGACAAAGAGATGAACATAGCTGCCTTGTTGTATGTAATTGTCTTCTGTAACCATTTTATGTTTCAGAAAACCTCGTCCTTTTGTAATGTTTTGTTTAGCTGATGTTATATTCTTGTTAAAATTTTCAATTACTTTGGGATCTTATATGAGATTTTCATGTGTTCTTTAATGTTTGTTATCATTTTCAGTTACTCAGTAATGCCAGAAGAATTGCTGCCAAAAGTTATAATGTCTCTGCATGCTAGGATTAATGAGGGGTTTCCTTTCAAAAATTATAAAACTGGTTTGCTGGTTAGTGCTTCCTTTTCCTTATGTTGTTTTGTCTATTAGCTGTCTTCGTTTATGATGGAGATATAAATTCACATTTCATATCTAGGTTTTGATTCTTGGACTATCCTTGTTTCCAGTAGCTAAAGTCATAGGATTTAAACTAACTTTAGTCATATATATAAATTTGTCGACTTAGGGAAGCAATAGGAGGAGAAATTTTTGGAATTTCTCTGGATGGTACATGCATTGGACAAGGGTCTAGAGTCGTGTTTAGGAGAGTTTTGTCTCTGTTTATGTTATGCAGTCCTTATCATGTCTATAAAATATGTTCTAGTTCCTTTCTTTTCGCTGAATTCCTAATCCAAACAATCTTAAGTTTTCATTTCACCAATTTTGGGTAATTCACACACGACCATGGAGTCAAACAAGAACAACAAAAATAAAGTTGAACAAAAATGTATATTTGGAAAGTAGTCACACACGAACATGTATATTACCTGTTTCATATTTGAACGGTAAACCATGTAAGATGGTGAAACATTGACCATCGCAGCAAGTTTCTTGGTGCTTACTTTAAAAAACGGAAAGGGGGGAATGTTACAAACATGTGAAATATTAAAGAAGAGAGGAAGAAGATAACAGAGGCAAGACTTGTTCTTTGGAATCTTAAAAAAAATATCGATCGGAAGAAGCAAAAGAGAGACTAACCTGAAACTCTGGGACAGAGAGAACTCTGTGAAAGCGAGCTACGAGTTTTACAAGTGCTGACTGTATCAACTGCCGCTCCTACAAGAAAGTTCTTAGACAGCTGATGATGGATAGAGATTGAGGGAGCGACATATCTACTTTTCTTTAAAATCTTTATGTCCATGGAACTCACCTGAAGTGGCGTGGGAGAAGAGAGATATATCTCTCTTCTCCCACGCCACTTCAATAAAAAGTGAATATTGTTACGATTATTGTCGTCACAATATATAAAGATTCGGTCACAATAATTCTATTGTGACGAAACTGACACTAATTCTAGAATGTAACAATAAAATCATCACAAATCCATGTATATCTCAAAAACGTCACAAATAAATGTGACGATTAACAACGGTAACAATTCGTCACTGATTATGACGACATTCATTGAGTTGCAAAAAATCCACAATTCGTGACAGACGATACTGTCACAAATATGCCACAACTAGTGACAATAAAATCGTAACATAAGTGTCACAAATTATTACCATATTTAAGTCACTGACCCGTTACATTTTGCGACCAAACTATTATCACAAATCCGACAAAATTAGTGACTCGATTATAGTCACACAAACATCACAATTTGTGTTTCAGTTGTGAACTTTTTTTCTTACTAAACTCGTATCAATTTGTTACAAAACTAGGAATGTAAATAACACAGACGTTTAGTCACAAACATATGATTACCAAAAAAATTTCTTTTACGAATTGCAGTCACCATTTAAAAAAAATATATATATAATTTTCTTTTTGACAGCAAAAAAGAAAAAAAAGAAAAAAAACAAGCAAAAGAACAAGATTTATAGAAATCTTAAAGACAATAGACTAACATCCAAACAAACGATAATATTTACTAAACGACTAGCATCCAAACAAAGTAACACAACTTAAAGAAAATGAAAACTAAACGATACTTAGGCTAATAAAAACCAGAATATATACATAACTAGATTAGCTGGAAAGTCTTGGTGGTGGATTCGGATCTAGACATTTTGACGTGCAAGAGACTCGACAAGTTTTTCCATAGCTTCAAATCTTTTATGAGTTTGCAGATTCTCTTCAAGGCTCTTTTTATGATCAGTTTCCATCTCTTATAGCCGATGCGTTATCGTCTCTACTTCTTCAGAAGTTTATGGTGCACTTTAAGAAGCACCAACAGATGGTAGAGCCTCAATTAGTGCTCCAAGTCCAAATATATGGCCATGTTAGATGATCCAGCAGCCTAGAAAGAAAGATTAAAATTATTAGCAAAAACAGAAACAATACAAGATATCTCAAATGATAGTTTAGGATACGCACATCACAAGAACAAATGAATGTAAAACCAGAGACTAACCAGCATAGAATTAGAATGAATGTAAAACCAGAGACTAACAAGCGTAGAGTGAATGTAAAACCAGAGACTAACAAGCCTAGAGTGAATGTAAAATTAGAGACTAACCAGCCTAGAATTAGAATGAATATAAAACCAGAGACTAACCTGAATGGAAAACCAGAGACTAACAAGCCTAGAGTGAATGTAAAACCAGAGACTAACCACAGTGTAAACCAGTGACTAACCAGCCTAAAGTGATGTAAAACCAGCCTAATTTTTAGAACTATTACCTTGATATAAATTTCATTTTTCTCATGTTTGTCAAGAGTTTCAGCTGTCAGATTCTCTTCCCCAGAAGATTCAAGTTGACCCAAGCATTCTTGTATATGCTTTTCATAAGT